AATGTTTTCTAAAATTAAACCTCAAATACACACAAAAAGGTATATGAATCTGGACAGCAATCCAAATGTGCCAAAGACCATGCCATTGCATGTACTTTCAAATTATCAATAGAAATGAGACTTGTAAAAATAGAACAAAGGAAAGCACCACCACATCTCAACTGCATGTTTTTTGGTCCTCTCATTCATTTTTCCTTGAGTCAACAGAGTTCCCTGACTTTCTATGGAAAAGGTAAAACTGAAGAGCAGAGATATATTAAAATTCACAGAGCAAAGACAAAGAGCCCTGGAGTGGGAGTCAGGAAAACTGTCTTCTATTTCAAACACTGCCCTTCATAAGCTGTGTTATCTTAAAGAAGTACCAAAATATCCTTAAGTCCTCAACCACTAAAATAATCCTACTAATAATAAATAACAATGCTGTGGCAAAGAGAGCACCGTGTATTTACCTTCTTAAACTCATACATGCATGAAAATCAATTTCAGTTCCTGATCACCCTTTACCTTACCCCTTTTCCCTCGCATACTCCCCCTTCCATTGTCTCTCCTCTACTCCACTAGACATCCTTTTGCTCATCTATTAATTTGTATATTGGTTCTTTATGTAATATTATCCTTCCCTCCACCTTTCCTTTTTTTTTTTTTTTTTTTGGCTTTCACATGAGAGAAAACATTCAACCTTTGAGTTTCTGAGTTTGGCTCATTTCACCTAGCATGATATTTCCATTTCCATCCATTTATTAGCAAATGCCATAATTTCATCCTTTTTAATGGCCAAGTAGAACTCCATCATATATACCACAATTTATTAATCCATTGTGTGTGTGTGTATGTGTATGTGTCACAATTTCTTAATCCATTCATTTATTGACGGGCATCTGGGTTGACTCTATAATTTAGCTATTGTGACTTGTGCTGCTATAAATATTGATGTGGCTGTGTTGTTATAGGGCAGATTTTAGATCTTTGGGGGAAATACCCAGGAGTGGGATAACAGGGTCATATGGTGTTTCCATCCCTAGTTTTGTGATGAATCTCTATAGTGCTTTCCAGGGTGGTTGTTCTAGCCTACAGTCCCACCAACAAGGTACAAGTGTTCCTTTCTCGCCACAACCTCACTAGCATGTGTTGTTGTTTTTATTCTTGATCATTGCCATTCTGACTGGATTGAGATGAATCTTAGTGTAGTTTTGATTTGTATCTCCCTGGTCGACTGAGATGTTGAACATATTTTCATGTATTTGTTGGCCTTCTGTGTTTCTTCTTTTGAGAAATTTCTGTTTAATTCTTTTGCCCATTTATTAATTGGTTATCTGTTGTTATGGTGGTAGTAATGGTATTAAGTTTTTTGAGTTCTTTGTATATTTCTGTATATTAATCCCCTATTAGAGGGACGGGTACCTGGCCAAGATTTTCCCCTGTTCTGTAGGCTCTCTCAGCATCACGCTCTTAATCATTTCCTTTGCTGTGCAAAAGCTGTTCAGTTTAAAGACATTTCACTTATTGATTCTTGGTTTCATTTCTTGCACTTTGGGGGTCTTGTTAAGGAAGTCGGTGTTAGCACCTACATGATGGAGTGTTGACCCTATATTTTCTTCCAGCGGTTGTAAAGTTTTTAGTATAATTCCTAAGTCTTTGATCCATTTCAATTTGAGTTTTGTGCAGGTGAGAGATAGGGGTCTAATTTCATTTTTCTACAGATAGCTATCCAATGTTCCCAGCACCAGTAGTTAAAAAGGCTGTCTCTTCTCCAAGATTTTATTTTAGTATATTTACCAAATATTAGACAGCTATGGGTTTATGGATTTGCCTCTGTGTCTTCTATTCCATTCTATTGATCTTCATGTCAATTTTGATGCCAGTACATGCTGTTTTTATTACTAAAGCTCTATAGTATAATTTCAGATCATGTATTGTGATGCCTCCTAATTCACTTATCTTGCTTAGTATTGCTTTGGCTATTCTGGGGCTCTTATTTTTCCAAATGAATTTAATAATTGTTTGTTTTAGTTATTTTTCTAATTCTGTGAAGAATATCTTTTTTTCATGAGGATCTTTCTTAGAGTGAAAAAGCACATTGCAGGGATGAATATGAAATTTCAGGGAAATCTGCTTAAAGAAACTGACTCACCTTTGGTAGCACACTTTACTATATTTTGCCTTTTCTGCTCTTCCTAACCTGAACTATATTTATGATGGCTAGAGTGCCAGCAGCCTTCATGAACCCTGAAGTATGGAAGCTACCTACTAGGAGGGAAGAGCAGAAAAGAGCTTGAGTCCTTGATGATGCCACGAAATTACGGCAGAACCAGTCTAGTCTATGTCTGCCATACTTTTACAAATATTTTAAAATAGATTTCTGTCTTCCTCAAGCTACAATATTTTGGGTTTTGTTTCCATTATGAGAAGCTAATGTAGTTTTAAGTAATATATAAAGTCATTTTTTGGAAATAGTCAAAAATAATGAATGAAATGTGTGGCTAATTTGTCTGCTGTGATAACTTGATTAATATATTTATGTAGGACTCAATTTCAACTTTCTTTATGCCAGTAAGAGTGTTATTCAGGTTTCATAAAATATTAATATGTCTTATAAGAAAATTATCACTATGGGCAATTTATTTTAGTAATGTTTTCTTCATATATTGTGATTTAAAAGAAAAAAATTACTGGGAATCTAACTCCTAAGGAAAAATTTTTCTTTTTAATTCCCCAAGAATAAAATAAGATATATATGAAAAATCCTATAGATTTATATATTGTAAAATAATTCCGGGTAGAAGAAAAGAAATACATCTACTAATCCCTTACTTATTCTACTACACACCAGAAAGGTTTGCTTAATCACCATAATAGGCATTTTAGGTAGTTAGTATTGCTCTCATTTTTTAAAGTACAGGCTCATGGATACTAAGTTAACTTTTATCATCTTCACATAATAATTCTAACTTTAAATCCCATATTCTTTTCATAATACTTTACTATAGAACATACACAGATATGTGATAATAGGAAGACACTTTAATAATAGTTTAAACTATTTTCTATTATTACTTTTTATTTTTTAATTAATTAATTAATTCTTACATACATCACAATAGAGGAGTGCATTACATTCATATTTTTTTGCATTGCGATTCTTAATACACCTTATACCATAATTTATCAAATCTCTGTTTGTATATAAGGTATGTTGACACCAAATCCACATCTTCATACATGAATTTTGTATAATGATGACCATCACCTTCCACTATCCTTGCTATTCCTATTCTCCCTCCTTTTCCCTCCCACCCCTATTCCTTATCTAGAGGTAATCTTCCTCCCTTGCTCTCCCTCTCAACCCCATTTTGAGTCAACACCCTTATATCAGAGAAGACATTTGGCATTTGTTTTTTTGGGATTAGCTAACTTCACTTAGCATAATCTTCTCTAATGCCATCCATTTCCTTACAAATGCCATGATCTTATTATTTTTTTGTGCTATATAATATTCCATTGTGTATAAATGCCACATTTTTTTTATCCATTCATCCACTGAAGGACATCTAGGTTAGCTCCACAGTTTAGCTATTGTGAATTGTGCTGCTATAAACATTGATGTGGCTGTTTCCCTGTAATACACTGTTTTTAGGTCCTTTGGGTATAGTCCAAGAAGAGGAATAGCTGGGTCAAATGGTGGTTCTATTCCCAGATTTCCAAGGAATCTCCATATTGTTTTCCATATTGGCTGCACTAATTTGCAGTCCCACCAGCAGTGAATAAATGTACCTTTTTACCTGCATCCTTGCCAACACTTGCTGTTATTTGTCTTCATACCTTTTAAAAAATCGATTGATTTTTACATAGGAGAAATAATTAAATTTTAATCCTCCAATAAAAATTACATTGAAGCTTTCTGTTTAAGGCCAGAATTTTTTTGAAAGTTTTTCAGTGGTAGGTACCACTGAATTCAGGTTCAACCCTAAACATGAACAGAGAAAGTAAGAGCAAAACAGGGAGAGGGAGAGAGAGAGAGAGAGAGAGAGAAAGAGAGAGAGAGAGAGAGAGAGAGAGAGAGAGAGAGAGAGGGAGAGGTCCAAACTATTTATATATGAAAAGGACCCAATTTTTAAAATATAATTTTATATTATTATTTTTATACATTTATATTGTTATATATATATGTAAATATATATATGACATAGTAGGGGATAAAATTATATAAATTTATGTATTGGAGCTATGAAAACCTTCATATTCCTAATCTAGAAATGAAAATACAATTACTTATAAAATTTTTGTATCAAAAAATTCCCAGTACAAGAATCCCTTCCTTCTCTCACTTTTATCACTTTCTCTTTTTCCTCTAAATAAGCATGAAAATAAAGCTTTTTTATTTTTCAAAGTAATTAGATGATATATTAAGCTCTCAGAAACAAAGTCATGAAAAGCAAAAGAAAGTCAATATGATGAAAAAAGAAACAAGTCTCCAAATTTACCATTGTTTTAGAATACATATTAGAAGTGACTCTGTCATCTACTATGAATGTGTTCATGTCAATAGACTATAGCTTTTATACTACATGCCAAAGGTAGAATTACAAAGTTTAACAAGAAGAAAAATTGTCTCCCTCATATTTTAAGTCAGTTCAAATAATGTTAAGACCAACTGAAGCTATTTCTTTTTTTTTTTAAAGAGAGAGTGAGAGAGGAGGGAGAGAGAGAGATAATTTTTAATATTTATTTTTTAGTTCTCGGCGGACACAACATCTTTGTTTGTATGTGGTGCTGAGGATCGAACCCGGGCCGCACGCATGCCAGGTGAGTGTGCTGCCGCTTGAGCCACATCCCCAGCCCAACTGAAGCTATTTCTATAATGAACTATTTTCTGTAATAGTACTATCTTTGTAGTTGACAATTACAGCAAAATTAACTTTCTTTAAAATATCACAGAACTTACTAAACATCTTATCATTGGTATAATAAAAAGATATTTTAAATTAACTGATAGGACTTACCACCACCTCCTCCAAGAAGACTGGCGTTTGCTGTTTAAAACAAAACAAAAGACATTTAAAATATATATAAATATAATATGTATGTACTTATATACAAAATATCATATGCCAGACTAGTTCAAGAAAAAGCTAGTCATTGTCATGTGTCTTAGAAAAATACATATACACAAAATATGTACTTTCATATCAAGACAGTAAAACTAAGAATTAAAATATTTCACTATTTTGCCTCTTTTTCATCTTCAAAGGGCTATTTTTATAATGCACTTCCTTCTAATAAAATTAAGTACACACTGAGATACTTTTATTCTTCATCTGTATCTAAATTAATCTTCTGAGTTTTCCATTTTATCAAGTAGAGATAGTACAACGTTATTTAGGCAATTTCAGTGGTTTCAAAGGACAATGTAACAAGAAAGTGGAATGATATTTTACATTTATTTAACACCATCAAACAAATCTCAAGGCATCCTTCAGTAAGAAATAAAGTTAAATAGTAACACGTTCATTATTTTTTGTATATTTTTTTTACTTGGAGAAAATGAATACTAAACAATTTTGTTCAATTTCTCACCCATTTATACATTCATTCATTCCGCATATTTATATATGCCAAATAAGCAAAAGAAAAATTCCATTTGGATTTCATTTAAGAGTTAAATTTTTGGCAAGTTTCATTGCAAGTTTTTGCTGCAGTATTAGATAACATTATGCCTAAACATTATAACCAGAAAATGTACTTCAATACAAATTGTACTATGTATGCTTTATTCCACGGAATTCTTGTGTATCACAGGCATTATTTCATGCAATTAGAAGAAAAAAAAAAAGTCCTGCATTAGTATTAGGAAAGTAGGTTGCAATCACCATCCCCTTTTTGTGGAGAAAACTAAGTTAACAAAAGATTAAATAAATCATTTAGGAAAGAGGAGTGAAAGTCTTTTACTTAAATTTTTGTGTGCTTTCCACAGACCATGCATGGCCATAATTGAGGAGGAGTAAATATCCACGTTAATGATCCAATAAATAGATAATGGATCATGTGAAGAACAAACGCCCATGTTCATAGCTCCATGAGGTTAACTATGTGATGGCTTGCTGACTATTATAACACTAAAGATAATATCATAAAAATGCACGGAGGGCAAATGCCCTTGAATATCTTTTTAATATGTCAATATTAGAACATAAGAATTTATCTCCTATGATCTTCCAAGTACAGGGTTGTCTAGTTGCTGCTCGTTCCTTCCCCTTAGTGTTTTTGTCTCCAACAAGGACAGTAGCACTGCCATTAATCAGAAAAATTCACTTCTGATGTCATAAAATCATGTGCCATCCTATCACCCAGGTCTCCAAATCCCTCTGCCTTCACAATGAAAGTGTAGTATTTACACAAACATTAGCCAGTTTTTGACATCCTGTTGCAAATCTGGCTTTGTAATTGCTGAAGTGCTAGTCTGCTGAAGCAGCTCATTGGCAGATATTGAGAATTCTGATTGGTTTCAGACCCTTTGGTGGATGAAGGAAATTTCATAATCAAAGCATGTCTCATAATCAAGGCTAATCCAAACATTTTCTAAAATCATAGCTACATGCATTTATAAAACCACATGGTATTTCACACACCTGCTGATTTTTTATTTTCATATTTGATGGATAACTACTTCCCTAACTATGGGTTTTCCAGATCCCTGAGGCTCCATCTGTTGCCTTCCAATATTCACATATTCATTCATAAGAAAAAACATATTTTCAGTAACAAACAAAAATATGTAGTAGCTCTTCACTCAAAGTATCACGCCCGGGAGCACAATAACACAATATAGTCTATTTTCATCCTATGTTTTCTTTAATAAAGGTGGAGTTTCTCTGAATTGAGAGCACAGCCCGAGACCCATCTGTTTAACCAGGCACTTGTCCAATGGATGTGGGTGGATGAGTGGGAATAGGTGTGGGAATTAGAATTCCAGTCCTGGCCAACTATCAAGTCAGTTTATGTCAAATGTATGTTCATGTCTAGATAAGCCTATCTGTAAATTTTAAAATTTCCATAGAACTATTTTTTTTAATCATGGCATTCCATCCACATGGTACACAATCACTTAAGAAATTTCATGTTCATTACCACTGATGCAACAAACTCTTTATCTAAGATGCCCAATCATATTTAGAGCTGTTTCAATAATTAGAATCCTAACAATAATTTGTTCAAAGAAATCATCAAATATAAATCTATTTTATCAATTTCTGTTCCCTACATTTTTAAAAAATTTGACTATATTAGCTAACAGTCAAGGTAATTTTTTTTGGTAAAAATGACAAAAATAGGCAATAAGAGTAAAAAAGAGTGAAGTTTATTGTAACTTCAAATATTACTTTGTTTCCACAAAGCACAACAATAAGTGATTATTGGTCAAATGAATTAATATGTCTTTAATTTTATGGTAGTGAAAATGACTTCTGTGTATCTATAATTAATTTTCATTTAATTTCTACTTAATTATTTCTAATAAATTGAGATATTTCCAGATCAGATTTTAAGTTCCCTGAAGACAAGGTATAAGTTTAATATCAGTTCAGTCTACATCAAATAAATTCTTAATATATTTTTAAATATGAGATAATTGGTGGTTTTAGTCAATTCTTTTTTATGTAAAAGATACTTATTTACTGAAGTGTATGAAAAGGGCAAACTTTGGATTTTTATGCATAAGAGTATTTTAAAAATTTTGAAGTTTATTCTAGGTGCTTAGTGATTAAGAATATATGAAATATATTTATGTCCCTATGTAAATTTCTTGCTAGAGAAATAATGAACATGCTTTGTGTTATTCTCAGAGTTTAACAGACAAAGGCAGAGGAGAAAAGGAAGAAATAAAACCAGAAATTTCTGAGCATAATGCCACTGCTTCTGAAATGAGATTTTAAAATCTCTTCTCTGAGCATGCTTATTAACCAACAATTTTGAATTCATATTCTCTGAAATAAAATGCCTCTGTAATTACCAGAAGGATAAAATCAAGTTAAAGTAATTGTCTCAAAGATTGATTCAATGCAAAAATTAAAACAAGCCATTGCAAGTTAGTGAATATGGGAATTGTTTTCCCTCCCTCTGACCAAAGTAACTTAACTCAATGAGACAAATTTCACTATTGATACAATGAAAACAACACTGAATGTAAAATAAGAAAAAGGTAATCTGAAGCTAATCTCATAGAGGTAAATATGGAAAATTTATCCAATACACTAAACAAATGCTTAAATTTAAAAGCTTATGTGGATTTTTTCTTTCATTTAAACCCAGCTTTAAATGTTTTAATTAAAATAGTCAAGTTTCTATAGGCATAAATATTTACAGTTAAGCCTAAAAATGTAAATATAATGTAGGAAGCTCTTTTTTTGACATAATTAGCATAAATAAAAAAATTATTGTGACAATTGCCAGTGGCATATTATTTTGTTTTTCTCAAAATACAGATGAAATGTTACACTACCTTTTTTCTAAAATAATCTTAAATGACCCTCTACATATGTATTTTCTTTAGAATAAGATTATTTAAAAATTAAAAATAAAAAGAAAGTACAAAAAATAGATCATATCAAATTGTGGATCAAAATCATGAAAAATAAAATTATCATATACTACAAATAATCATACCCTACTAGAAATTCCTAAATGGAATGCAACATAATATCAATAACGCAAGACAAAACTATAATGTGCCCTTCTAGAACAAAATCATAAACAGAGAGCCATGTGACCTATATGTTAATTCTACTTTGGTTGCTATATAGTTTGGTGATTTGGGCATGACATCTTTAATGGTCTTATTTATCTCCTTCCACCAGAAAATGCAGAATCAATCGGTAATTGCAAACAGGTTTCAAACAATTCTGATTCATTCATTAGCAGAAACTACTCTAATTTGAGAAAAATTCTGAGGCACAATCTATACTCAGTAGAAAAGAGCAGCATGATCAATTAATAATGTGAGTCATGGTGAGAGCAGGCTAGGGAATATTAAAATGGCAGCACATTTCCATATATTTGGGTCTCTGGATCAGATGGCTTTTCTCTGGATTGACAGTGTTTGAGGCAAATGAAATTCTATTCAATAATCTTAAAAAGAAAAAAGAAAACTGCTAACATATGATGTGCCAGCACTGTTCTTTGACATTCTTACGTTTTTTCAGTTCATGTGTCTGAAATAATCCAGTGTAAAATAATCTAGAGCTGAGAGACTATAAGTCAAACTGGCTTGATAGATGTTTGAAATAACTTTTTATTCTACTTGCCCTGTAATGTCTGTTATCTCCACAGTAATTATTTATCTTCCCACTTTGTTTCCGCTTCACCCAAGACTATCTTGTCAAACAAGCAACAGTCTGAGAAACTAGTCTTTAAACATCGATTAAAACTGTTTGTGCAGAGCTTTTGTTTGCATTCCATCATAATAAATGAAATTATACTTGCTTTCATACCACGAGAATTCTGACCACTTAACTCCATTTATTTATTCTACTGTCTTTTTGTAATAGAGCATATGGGATGTCAGAATTATTGCTGGCAACAACTTTCCCAGGAGCTCTACTGAAAATACTAATTTTCATTCACAACATGTTATCCCAAGAAATACAAAAGCTGAAATATCACCCTTTAGAATGGCACACATTAAGCTCTAAAACTCCAAGTAGTAAGTGCTAAAACATCAAAGTTTAAAATCCCAAGTATGTGGGTGACCTAGAACCACTTCACGTAGAGAACAACCATCTCAATTGACAGCTGTAGAAATACAATCTACATAGACAAATACCTCCATCAGTTTGGCAAAAGCTCATTGTTCATGCTTACTAGATTTTCACCTTCCAGACAAAATCAACGGAATGCCAGAGGTTTGGGCTAATGGTATAATTTTCTGCTTTGAAGATGACAAAGACAAAATTAAGAATGGATTTAACTGTTTAACATGTAGAAATCAGGCATAAACACATGATTAATACTTTGCATTTCATGCTTACTGCAGAATCTA